TGTTTTGCTTTACACTCCACATGTTTATAGGTTATAGCAGCTCAGATGAGGATTTGTAGTTATAATAATAAGTGGTAAAAGCAATAACAAGGTCATGTTTGTGGAGTTTGAAAGCTTTTTTGTGTCTGTCATAATGGACAGGTGAGTCACAACGCCAGAGGAAGTTTTGTTTCATTGAGGACAATCTCTTTCTAACTCAACAACCACAAGAGAGCGAGAGCGAGAGAGAAATTTATGCATCAGGCTATAGATTGATCCGTGATTGGCGACCAATCTGCAAAGAGTAGAAGAAAATGACAAGAGAAAAATGCCCAGAAAAGTACATAATGGATGGAAGCAGGAGAGAAAAGAGATACATGACATGAAGCACAAATGGAGAGGACACAGTGGCACATCCGCACTCAGCTCAGGGGCAAAGTGAACATTGTGGGTTTTCCAGCATGTCTTTAGGTTTAAAATAAATGCCAAATGACTTGTAGAGAACGGGGAGGAGGAAACATCACCAGGGAATCTCTATTTGATACAGAGAAGAGAGAGAGAGAGGAAGGGAGATAAATGGAAATCCTCTGGGGAGCTACACAAAGGCAGAAGTAAAACTGTTCCCCCTCCCTCACCTTGACAGTCGGCTTCCTCTCCCTCTGTCAATTTTCTCTTTCTCCCTTCCTCTCTCACGTCCACTTTCTCACATATACTCTTTTTACCCACTTTTTTCCTAGCTTCCTCCTCCTCCTTAACTTTCCTCTGTTAAAATCCCTTCTCTTTTTTAATTCTCATCTTTCCAGCTGTACACTCCACCAGTAGTTTTTTTTAAATTTACCTGAAATAACATAAAAAATACAAAACATACGATTTGTGGTGCCAAATTTGTTCGTGGATGTGCATTTCTACATGTGTGCATACAATTTATTTGATTTATTTACATTTCTAAAAGGTTTGTAGGTTGTTGAAGGACCAGTGTGTGGGATTTAGTGGCATCTAGGGGTGAAATTGCAGATTACAACCAACTGAATAATGGTAAAGACACACTGGATCCGTTGACTGAAGAGCAGAAAATCTGGACGAAGGGTGCATGATGGATTGACTGTTTATCAAACCTGAATTTGCTTAAACACAACTCAATTTCAACGTCATGCAAATGAAGTCCGTCCAGTAGCAGGCTCACAAAACAGATCGAGCTGTAAAATCAGGCAGTGCTAATCAAATATGAATCAAGATTTAGTTACTGCATTGACTATCTCTCTCTTCAAATGTTTCCAGAAGCATAATTTAGTTTCTATTTTGCTGTAATCTGTAATAGGAGCCGAAGGGTCTGTCCTAGGTTAATGCCTTTTAAAAGGCAGTTTTTCCTTGCCCTGTCGCCAAGTGCTTGCTCATGGTGCTACTGTTGTCTCTGTAAATGTTTAAGGAGTTTGTTCTCTTGTTTGACCTGCTCTATTTGAAAAGTGTCCTGAGATAACTTCTGTTATGAATTGGCGCTATACAAATAAAATTGAATTGAATGGATATGTTTCTTCCGTTCAAATCATGTTGTTCATGTTGAACGTCCTAGATCAAAAACCAACCAATGTCTAACTCGCAGTTTCATCACCCATCAGGTCCAGTTCATCTAGAGGCATCCTTGCCAGATGTGTGTACCATAACTGCTCGCCTTCCCAGCATGTAGGAGAAACTACAGTGGTTCTGAAACTCGTGAAAAACATTAAAAGGTCTTCTACATACATATGATACCAGTATCTTCACTCTAGCTAGACAACTAATCCCACTACAGCGTCTGAAAGTCAGTAATGGTGGCAGAGGACGTTAGGCATCTGAGCGGAGCTGAAGAGGTTAACCGAAAATTAAGGTTTTATAAAATATTTTGACTGGCAGTTTCTGTGTGTGGAGTGACATCTGGTGAGCTAATGATCAGACAAACCGCTTCAGGCTGTTGAACAGCAGAATCTCTGCTCTCAGCTTCAACAGCAGTGTCTGGATGATCTCCCACTGAGGAGAAAGCACCGCGCCACCCAAACACCAGCCGCCAGTCCAAACCTCATCAGCCTTTCAAACGCTGATACCTGAACAGGACGATCATCTCTGAAATGATTAATGGGACTCTGCTGTTTTCACATGGAAATGTTTCACAGCTTGAGCAACACACAAAGAGAAAGTTAAAGCAGGTGATAGAGGAATAAAACCTATTCTAGAAGTGACAACAGTTTATATAAGAGCAGGAAGGAGTCAGACTGAGACAAGAGGACAAAACGAGACAAAGGGAAGGGCTGACAGAAGAAGGGATGAGGGGGTGAGAGGGCAGAGTGGTGGTGAGGAGGAGGAGGACGGATGTGGCTTCAGAGGCTCAGAGACACAGTTGGAAGTTCATTCATTCGTCTGTCTGTTGATAGAAACATCACAGCTCTGTCCTCTCTGACTGAAGGCCTGCTATCAGCCAGCTGCAGCCCGTTATGGGAGGGAGGAAAAGGAAAAAAAAAACACAGTGAAGCAGAGAGAAAGTCACAGTCAGGGTTCAGCAGCTTAAAGTTCATTATGCAGATTGCAGAGTTAAAATGCCTCCATTCTGCGAGTCTAATTTCTCTTTCATGGCCATTGTGAGCGTGGAGATGATCCATTACAGGTTAGCGGAGAGCAGCGGGGTCAGAACAATCCGATTGGCAATGTATCTCTGTGTATTCACCATTCTTTCTTTGTCTGCCGTCCTCGCCTTTGATTGGGAGTAGAGCAAAGAGAGGAAGTTACAAAAGGCGGTGTGTAGGTTAATTACGGAACTTTCTGTTTGATATTAAAATGCGAATGTGCAGCGATGAAAACAAACACGCACACAAGATCAAGGTCAAACACACACTCCCACACACAAACAAATAATAAGCCCTTTATCTTCTACCCTGCAGCATTAACTGTAATCTGAATCACTAATTATAATCAGTGTTTTCTTAAGGCAAACAAAACAACACTGTACTGTGTGTGTGTATATATATATATGCTAATATAACCTAAGATAGTATATTTAATTTCTACAGCTGCTGTCTGACCATTGTTCTGCCTCTTAAAGAACAATGTAGATGTGCTGTGTGGGAAAGAAAATATGTTAACTGTAAAAAAGGTCAGATGGAGATTTGGAAACTTAAGGTATTAATCAAATTATAGTAGGAATATAGTAAATTACTGCAATAAATATTCAACAAAGCAATTTAACCATTAAGGATGATTTACAATTCTAATTAGTATTCTCTAGCGTCATCCATCTATACATGATTTGCATTCTGTTCAATTATTCAGACATAATAAAAAACATGTTCTTTACATTAATGCATGTTTACTAATTAAGGCAATTACAGCGTGTGCTGACAGGATGGAGGGAGGCGAAACCAGACATATTCTTTTGCATCTGGAGAAGCGTTAATAGAAACCTGCTTGCTTTTGTATGTAAAAGAGATGAGAGATGATGTTATGAAATGTTTTTTTAATGTTGCTGTCTGAAAGTATAAAACAAAAGTGTCTGGAAGTTTTTCAGTTTTTCAACAAAGAGCGGCTCATAACTGATATTTTTTTGCCAGTATGTAATTTTAGCTTCCGAAACCTTCAAGGATTTACTTCTTCCAAGAGAAGTGTATTCTCATGAGGATAGGAAACAGCATTTATCTTGTTATGTGACACTACTGAGACCAGTAGTGAGTCTGCAGTGCTTCCTGGGATCATTTAAATAAGCAGTGTTTAAAGAAAAGTATAAAAAGGTGGGAAAAAATCTACATTTTAGAAAAATATACTTTCCACGAGTTAGCCTTGTGTTTTTTGTACAAATTGTTAATTTTAGAAGTGCTTTGACTTTGCAAGTCAAGCTAACTGTTTCCATTCTTTGTGCCAAGCTATGCTAACTGGCTTCTGGTTGTAGCTTCATATTTATCATGCAGACTTGAAAGTGGCATCAAACTTCTGATTTAACTTCTGAACACAAGGCAAATATGATTTCCCAAAAGGTTGAACTATTCCTTTAAGCTTTCAGTTGCCACACCACCACTGTTGAGAGAATTTTTTCACATTGTTTTATAGGACATGTTGTCTCCAGGAATCCAATTTAAAATCCCTGACCCAAGAAAATTATTATTGTCATATTCATGTCTGTTTTATTCCAATCTGCACTGACGGCAGTGCGTTTGTAGAAAACACTCGGCCCAGTTGATTAGGATCACTTCAAGCTGCTCAGTTTCATTTGCAATCATAGCAGCACAAAGAGCCAATCTTCAGGAGATTGGAGGGTGGTGATTAGAGTCTCTTCTAAAATGTAATGTGGGTTTCAAAAGTCAAGACGAAGCAGACACACACTGTAGGGGTGACGAGATCTGACAAGAAAACAACATTGTTATCTTTTTCGATCCTTTGGCATTTCAATAATACGACATTAACATACAGCAGTTTGTTGAAATCCCTGAAAAACCCTTAAAAATATTCATTTTAACATGTCTTTTACATGATAAGCATCATTTGCACCATTATCTCCCTCTTGAATCCTGAAAGCTTCAAAAGGACTAGTGCGTAGGAGTGAGTGGCATCTATTAGTGTAGTTGCAACTCCCTCGTATCACCTTCCAAATGCAAAGGAGAAACAACGTTGGCCCCCGAAACTCGTGAAACCTCCAAAATCCAGAGCCAGTGTTTGGTTGGTCCGTTCTTGGCTACTGTAGAAACAGTGTAATACGGCGGCCTCCATAGAGGATGACCCACAGCACCTGTAGATAAAAACGACTCACTCAAAGGTAACAAAAACAGAACTATTCTTATTTTCAGGTGATTATACACTAATTAAAACATAGCTATGAATATTATATTCCATTTCTGCCAATACATCCTCCTAAGAAAGAGATTTTTTCAAATTTTTGCCAAACAGACAAATAATCATGATATTTTTAGTCATTTGTTCTGGTGGTGAACAGTTAATTAAGAGTGGAAGTGGATTTAGGGTCTTAGATACTTCTGTTTACACACAAACACTGGATGAACGATTACCCATGAGCCTCTGAGGCCAGGCCGAGGCATACAGACGGAGTCGTGGGTGGTCAGCCTGGTTGACACAGTAACAAGCTGTGAGCCAGTGGCCTTCTGGGAAGCGGCAGACATGACAGACTGCAGGCTGTGAGAGAAACAAACACTCTGACGCTCACAATCACTCTTCGGCCCGGCGGTCTGTGATTTTCAGGTGGAGAAGGTATTTATTATGTTGATTCCAGAGCCTCACATTCCTCAGTGCGGCCCTTTGTTGGTCACAGTTTTCACTCTGCAGCCAGGCCAAACGTATGGATCAACAATATGATTCTGGACTCCTTTATATCCATAAATGTGTTTTTTTGTTGTAATGCCAGCCACTTTTCTGCTTCCTGTAATATCATTTATGTTTATATTCCTCAGCTGCTGTAACCACAGCAGCCATTAATCATGGGTC